ACAAGATAGTTGGGAAATAGATCAGAAATTAAAGAAGCAGGGAAAGGGAAAAATAAAAGTGAGATGCAAAAAAATAAAGATAATAGAGAGAAAGAACTGATAACTTGGAATCAATTAGATAATATTTTAAAAGCTTATAACAATAGAGAGAGAAAAAAAGGAAAATCTCTTCAAAAAAGGAAAAGTTCAGAGAGAAAAAACACAAAAATCTCTTCAAAAAAAGAGAATAATTTATGGTGTTTAAAAGATGCAGCAAAAAGAGATAAAGGGCAAGTCGAAAGGAGTATTTAGCGGGCATAAAACATTATTAAAAACTATAAGTTTCCAAGAGAGAGAAAGAAAAAGGTGGTTGAAAAGTTAATAGATGATAGATGATGGATAGCGATAAAATAAACTAGCAAAATGGAAAAGTAGAAAATATAAATAGAGAAAACAGTAGCATATATACAAATTGAAAAATAGAATTTAGTTTATTTAAAAATAAGTTAAGGATAGAAGGTGGAAGTTTAGGATTAGAGAATTTAATTGTTTTATTAATATTTATAGTGTGTTAAAATGTATTATGAATTTCAAAGTTCTTAAGGATTAGAAATTATGAGGAATTGGAGATGTATTCCCAGGATCGATTGAATACTGCTAATATTTAGATTGATTAGTAGTGTTGAATATTTGGGATATTGAAAGCATGGTGAAAAAAGGAGTAATTTTTAAAACGTCAAATTTAAGATAAGGGATAATAAATAATGGAGAAAAGAAATGTGGATTACAGGAAACTAGCTACGATAATGTCTGAGAGGCTAAAAAGGATATTAAGTAGAATCATCCATCTTGACCAGAATGGGTTTCTTCTGTATAGGCTGATGAAGATCAATACAAGGATAATTTTGAACATTTTAGAATTCTATGAATGCACCCAAATAGAACAATGGCACTGATGTATCAGTGCCAGAAGGCCTTTGATAATTTGAATTGATATTTCTTATTAATCAACTGATCGGTATGAAATTTGGTGAAAACTTTCTGGGATTTATCAAAACAATCTAAAAAACACAAACAGCAAAATAATAATGGAGAAACTACGGATAGCATAAAGATAAGTAAGGAGGTGAGGCAAGGATGTCCCCTTGTTGCAGGAAATTATGAGACTCAGACCTTGGAATCCAAAAATAAGTTGTTTTTATTTGCGCAAACAGGTTCAGAGTATTTTTAGTGAGAGTCACTTCTGAACAAATTTCTTATAGAACAGCACATGCCTATATACTTCTTCAGAAGGGGCAAAACACAGAAATATAACTTGTCAGTCATTCATTGGTTACTTGAAACACAGCTTTCCCCCTCCCCTGTTGCTAGGCTAGGATGGCTGGATGTCACAAATCCATCTTGCTAAACTCCCTGGCTTGTGGTTTTGTTACAAGCGAGACTAGGTTTCTTGCAAATGTGACCGATAGATGATCCTTGTGGTTTGGCTTTTTACACTTCCTTGTTCTTTCTCTTGCTAATACCACATATTTCACAATCTATAAAACTTGTATCATTATTTCTCTAAAATTAATATATTTTATGTCCTGCCTTATTCTCCCCTTTGAGACTTTATTTAACAATTAAATTTCACTTTTATGATGTCTTAGATTAGCCCTTGCACATATGTTAGGCATGACGTATGACAAGATTAATGCCTTTGCAAAAGTAGGCAATTACAAATCCTTCTCAGATGAGTCAAAGTTGGAAAAACGAAGAACTTTCTTTAAACAATACAATTTATAGTTTGTTTCCCTTTTGAAGCATATTTGTGGTTCAGGTGTTCTATCGAGACAGGGAAGTTTGACTTCACTGAACAGGAAACTCTTAGCTAGGCAACTGAGCAAGAAACATGTTGCGGTTTCTTCAACTCAGATAAGCACTTTAAACATATAAGCTTTTAAAATTTGGGACACCTCTAGGTCATCTAGTCCAACCCCCTTTTTGATACATAAAAATCCTTTAAAAGAATTCAAAAAAATATATCTTTTCACCACACACTCTATCATTAACACATTAACATTTGTTTTACTTGTTCTTATTTTCAGCCGTACGTAGAGGGTCAGCTTCTGGAGTAATACCAGTAAGGCCTCTTCTGCCCCGTATGTTGCCTGCCCATTACCGGTAGGGCAGTTATAGGGGGCGCTTCTTCAAGTGTACCACTCATTAGATTCACCCATGAATCCCCTAATTGACTTAAATCCCCTATATTATTTCTCAAACTAGTACTTATGACAGGGGGTCTTTCAAACATCATTTCAAAAGGAGATAACCTAATTCCTTTTATTACTTTTGATCCTTTTAAACTTTGATAGTACCATATCTCTTACAAAGGGAATCAAACAGGAGAGAAACATTAGAGCCCAGAATCCTAATACAGCAGACTTTGTTGAACCCTTCACCATCCCAATTTGCTACGCTCCAAAAATTTTCTTATTAGGGCTAGCTGGTTTTGCACAATGTTATTTTCCACACTTTCCTTTGGCTAAGGTTCCCAAGACTGCAGTCACCTCTTTTAAGGGGGTTTCTACCACAGTTTGTAGTCAAATTTAATTGTATGTCCATTAGCTCCCAGAGTGCCATCCTCCACCTACGTGTAGGCCCTTTTAGAGTTTCAAGCATCCGGGACATCACTGGTATCTATGGATTCAAGGGCTCTTTGCTTTCCAAGCCTGAATTCACTCCTTCGATAGGGATTCCCCTATGTTGCTTTATGAATCTCATTACACAGGGTCCAAACCACCCAGTGGGGAGGCTGCTATAGGTATATTTTTCACATTCCCTATACATAACTTCTGGGGTAGTCCAGTTGCTATTATTTGCTTCTTGATTCTTACAATAACACACTTCACTACTAGTCACATTTTTTATTAGAACTTCGCTCAGTCCAGTCCCATTGGGCAAAACACAATAGCCACCCGCAATCCAAATTTGTTGGATTCCATTAATCTCCCATATTTGATTCCACACACATACACAAGAGCACACAAAGGTCTTGTTGAAGCTATTTTAGACAATTTCTTCCTCCCTTCTTCCTGTTGCACGGCGTTAAGGTTCGTTCGACACCTAGCTGACTTGCAGTAAGTTATACTTATATATCTGCAAAAAATGCTTTTTCCTGTAATAAGTTCCATAGAGAGCTTATATTTCTACTAGTTATATTTTAAGCTCAGCATTTTTCCTAAATTCTTATCTTTTGCTTTACAAATTAATATTCATCTCCCAACTCTGGCTATTGGTGCTGGAGTTAGCTTTTCCCATTAGGGGCTAGTTGCAATCACACTTTTGGTTTTGGTGGTGGTCGTGTTGCTTTTTCAAGGTTCCTAAATTGTTCACGTGTTC